GTTAGACCACAAGAGACATTTGCAGTAGATTTGGATGATAGAAGAAGAGCAGCCATATTGTTCTCGCTCTTACGGGATCCTCTCCTTTACTTCCTCCAACTCCTGGGTCAGGAGCATGAGTATGTTTAGCTCTGTAGCTAAAGATATTAGCTTCTTTTGCAGATCTAATACCATCAAAGTTGGGAGTGTAGAAGAGGTGAGGGCCTGATCCAAGTTCCAGTTTGTCCTTATGAATTCTAGCATATTCTTACAGGTCCATTTCCCCTTGTTTCCCCCATGCCTCATGTAACTTTACTTCCTGGCTGTCTGTCCTAATGACTTCAGGTTCCAGACACTAAAGAAACAGCCCTTTATCAACCATTTAAACAGTTCTCATAATGGTGTAGGGGAAAATATCTATAAAAAAGTAAACATACATGACACACATATATTCACATCTACGTGTGTGTGTGTGTGTCCATGTTCTGCTTCTCTTATTGAACTCTGAATGAGTCACAGTTGGCTACTGGCAACGATTCCAGAGGAATGGAAATTTAAAGGACAGATTCTCTGAATGGTTCTAGTTTACTTAGAATTGGTTCTCTGATCTTATTAAAAGTATTACAAGCCCTGTTTATAGTAGAAAAGATTATGCTGTAGTCAGTTAAGTGCAGAGGTTGGTTCTCTGATCTTATTAAAAGTATTACAAGCCCTGTTTATAGTAGAAAAGATTATGCTGTAGTCAGTGAAGTGCAGAGGACAAGTTATTTAATTTATCAACTTTACAGACCTGCAATGAAGCCAGGGCTTTGGGTAACCAAGTGTTTTCTGCCAGAGGACAATTTAGTGGCAATAAGAAAGATAATGGCATTGGTTCCATCTAAGTGTATTGAAGGTTATGGGAAAAGAAAATGAAAAGCCCAAGGCTTAGGGATTAACCAGCCACTTGGCAGCAGGTTAGTTACACATGACTACCTCCATCATGAAAGGGGAAAACATTTGACTTAGTTTCATGATATTTAAAAGCTTTTCTCCAAGACAAAAAAAAAATACTCCATAGGCCATTAGATAGTGGAGCAGACTTATGACTACAGCCAGAAGAGGCAAACCCATTACTAGCAAATGTATCTGTTCCTATCAGGTTGAATTGTTGACCTTTCCAAAGTTGAAGCGGCCCAATGTGGTCAATTTGCCACCGAGTGGTTGGCTGGTCCCCTTGAGAAATGGTGCTATATTGTAAGTACTCAACTTGGTTGTTGACGGTCAAATGCCTGTCATTTGAGTTGGATATTCAGCTACATCAGCCTTTGCAAGAGGGCACTCATGCAACTGGGCCCATGTGTAGCCTCCGTCTTCCTCCACGTGCCCATTAGGTCAGCACTAAAGTGGCCAATGAAAGAAGTCGGCTGACAGCAAATGGCTTAACTAGTATCAAATTTAAAAGTAAATTTCTTTACCATTCCCCCAAACATAGTCATCATTTTCCATTTTGGAGACCTTTGAAATTATGGTTGATATACCACAAAGTATTAATTTCTCACTCCTAATCAACGTCAATAAGCTTCATCGCTAACTCACATGAAAAACTCTGCCTTAAAAAAAATTGAAACATTTCTTAACAATATTAAGCTTAAGCTTGGCAATTGTGCACATGTGCTACAAAGATAATTATATCCTATTGGGATATTTATTGTCTATATTTTATTCTTGTTTATTTAGATACTCAAAAATTTAGATGCAAACATTGTTTGGCACCACTACTTTCTGCCCCTTATTTATTTCAGTGACTTCCATGCGAGGCATAAAACTGAACCTTCATGATTTTAATTTTATATTATCTGCATAAAATGTTAAAAGCTTGATTTTGAAGTCAGAAAATATGTTGGAAATACCACCTGGCTTTTTTTAACACATAATTCCAGAAAGATCAAATTTTCTGCCCAAGGTCACACAATTTGTTCATGGAAAAGATGGGACTAAAGTGAGATGTTTCTACTTCCTTAAAATTATGTTCCTGGACTTCCCTGGTGGCACAATGGGTAAGAATCCACCTACCAATGTAAGGGACACAGGTTCAATCCCTGACTGGGAAGATTCTACATGCCTCAGAGCAACTAACCCCATGAGCCACAACTACTGAGCCAGTGCTCTAGAGTCCTTCAGCTGAAACTACTGAGCCATGTGCCACAACCATTGAAGCCTGAAAGCTCTAGGGAGGCAGGTCAGGTGGTCTGGTATTCCCATCTCCTTAAGAATTTTCCACAGTTTGTTGTGATCCACACAGTCAAAAGATTTGGCATAGTCAATAAAGCAGATGTTTTTCTGGAACTCTCTTGCTTTTTCAATGATCCAACGGATGCTGGCAATTTGATCTCTGGTTCCTCTGCCTTTTCTAAATCCAGCTTGAACATCTGGAAGTTCACGATTCATGTACTACTGAAGCCTGGCTTGGAGAATTTTGAACATTACTTTGCTAGCATGTGAGATGAAAGCAATAGTGCAGTAGTTTGAACAACGGACTGGTTCCAAACTGGGAAAGGAGTATGACAAGGTTGTATGTTGTCACCCTGCTTAAACTTATATGCAGAATACATCATGCAAAATGCTGGGCTGGATGAAGCACAAGCTGAAATCAAGACTGCTGGGAAAAATATCAATAACCTCAGATATGCAGATGACACCACCCTTATGGCAGAAAGTGAAGAAGAACTGAAGAGCCTCTTGATGAAAGTGAAAGAGAAGAGTGGAAAAGTTGGCTTACAACTCAACATTCAAAAAAACTAAGATCATGGCATCCGGTCCCATCACTTCATGGCAAATAGATAGGAAAACAGTGAGATACTTTATTTTGGGGAGGCTCCAAAATCACTGCAGATGGTGACTGCAGCCATGAAATTAAAAGAAACTCGCTCCTTGGAAGAAAAGCTATGACCAACCTAGACAGCATATTAAAAAGCAGAGACATTACTTTGCCAATAAAGGTCTATCTAGTCAAAGCTATGGTTTTTCTAGTAGTCATGTATGGATGTGAGAGTTGGACTATAAAGAAAGCTGAGTGCTGAAGAATTGATGCGTTTGAACTGTGGTGTTGGAGAAGACTCATAAGAGTCCCTTGGACTGCAAGAGCAAGCCAGTCAATTCTAAAGGAAATCAGTCCTGAATATTCATTGGAAGGACTGATGCTGAAGCTGAAGCTCCAATACTTTGGCCACCTTATGCGAAGAACTGATCCACTGGAAAAGACCGTGATGCTGAGAAAGACTGAAGGCAGGAGGAGAAGGAGATGACAGAGGTTGAGATGGTTGGACGGCATCACCGACTCCATGGACATGAGTTTGAGCAAGCTCCAGGAGTTGGTGATGAACAGGGAAGCCTGGCGTGCTGCAGTCCATGGGGTCACAAAGAGTCAGACACGACTGAGCGACTCAACTGAACTGAACTGAAGCTCCAGGAGTTGGTGATGAACAGGGAAGCCTGGCGTGCTGCAGTCCATGGGGTCACAAAGAGTCAGACACGACTGAGCGACTCAACTGAACTGAACTGAAGCTCCAGGGACTGCAAGCCACAACTCCCAAGCACCTGTGCAGCAGCCACTGAAGCCCTCACACCTAGAGCCTGTGCTCCAACAACAAGAAAAGCCGCAGCAATGAGAAGCGCAGGAACAGCAAGGAGAAGCCCAGGAACCACAACTAGAGGAAGTTGGAGTGCAGCAACAAAGACCCAGTGCAGCCAAGGATAAACAAATAAATGAAAGCATTGTGTACATGTCAAATATATTGTATTTAAAAAAAAATTATGTCCCTATGTAGCACATGAATGTGTTTTGAAGAAGCATTTTTCAGACCTTGGAATCCCCACTGAAGTAAAATCTAACTTTTAATACGATCATTTTGGCCTCCAAATCCAAAAATTTCAGTCCACTAAAAGAATTACTGTTGTGGTGAATAAGTGTTTATGGAGTTCACTGCAGGATACAGATCCTTCTCAGACTCAGATGCGAGTGGACCCACACAGCAGAGCTTGCTCTCTCTGGCCTAAATATGGGGCAACTTGGGGTTCTGGGGTCTGGCTCCAAAACAGCAGAATTTCCAAGTCAGCGTCCATTTAATCAGCCTGGTCTGGGGACTATATCAGGGCTACAGGGAAGTTGGGTCCATATCCTGCTTCTCAGGACCCGCAGACCATTATTCCAACACCCCCATCCCCGCTCATCCTGATTCTCCTCCAGGAGGCCAAGCACTTTATCCTTCTGCCCTCCTCCCTGCCCCCCACCTGCTCCCCACCCATCCCCAACACATTTAAGGACTGTAGCCAATCCCAACTACGTCCGATTTTGTTGTGCTGCAGGCTTTTTCTTTTTTTTTTTTTTAACTGTCAACAATAGCTGTGCTCCATCAACTCGGTAAACAAGAGTCAGCTTACGCCTGCAGTTACAGGGAGCTGTAACGTGTACCCGTAACTAAAGCGCTTTCTGAACCAACTAGCTGGATGTGACTTCAGGGAACCAAATGCCCAGTAGAAGACCAGCAACAACGGGAAGGATACTGCCTTCTGTTCTTTGGTACAAACTGGCAAAGAGAAACAGGGTGTCAGACCTGAGCTGCAGCCCCCGGAAGGGTCTCCGCGGGTCTCCGAATCCAGTCCCCCAGCTCGAAGAGGCGGGACTTTGGAAGGGGAGCGGCCAGGAGGCGGCGAGGGCGGCGCGGGGCAGACAACCGAGGTTCCAGCGGCGCGTGTGGTGCGCGTGCGCTCGGGCACGGGTCTGCGCGGCGTCACGGACACAAGGGGCCGGGATGCCGCGCAGACCCAGATAATGAAGGGGCCGGAGGGGTAGGGACAGTGTCGGACACGGCGGCTCTCCACCGCCGTGGCTTTGGAGCCGCGGACGGGAAACTGCCGCGCCTGCAGTCCCCAAGCTTCACCGCCAGGGGGCGAACACCCCACGATGCGGGGGCTCAGGATCGTGCGCGGACCCAGGGAACGCAAAGGCGGTGGCCACCCTACTGGGCGGCCGCCCTTACCTCCAGGTAGTACAAGTCCAGGGTCGTGATCTGCGAGTCCAGGAAGTCTTCGTAGGTGTTGAACTGCGTGACTATATTGTCCACGGTGGTCGACGCTTCGTCCTGATCCATCGCGGTTGCCTTGGCCGAAGCGTCCCTAGCTACGGAGGCGCGGGGGCAGGGTCAGAAGATTCCACCCACTTCTTCCCTTCCAATCAGTTAGAAACCGGTGCGGAGTTTGGGGCGTTAATCCCACCCCCGTGTCTGGTTACGGTTTCAGGTTCCCGCCTCACTCCTAGGAGTGCCGTCTCACATTACTCTCCCCAAGTCCAGGCCTGACGACTTCAATAGACTCGGACTTCGATAAAAATGAGTACCTTTGAAAGACAGGCAATTGTAATCCAAAATTGAAAAGGGTGAAACGCCTCCCAGGATATGTAGACAAAATACTACAGATCAGAGCTTCTGGTCTCCTTCTAAAACAATGCTGTGAGGGACCAAATTACCAAGGTTAGTTCTCTGCTGACTGAAGGTCCATTTTTGCAGAGTGTCTCAAAACAGAAATTTCTGGAAATGGACTTGTGAACAAATCCATTAACAAAGGAAACATTCATAATATTTTCAAATTATTATTGTTGTTGTTTAGTTGCTAAGTCAGTCCGACTCTTTTTCAAGACCCCATGGACTGTAGCTTTGCCAGGCTCCTCTGTCCATGGGATTTCCGGGGCAAAAATACTGGAGTGGGGTGGCATTCCCTTCTCCAGGGGATCTTCTCGACCCAGGGATCGAACCCATGTCTCTTACATCTCCTATATTGGCAGGAGGATTCTTTACCACTGGGCCACCTATTTTTAAGTTATTGCTCATATCTGGATATGAGAAAGAATTTATGAATTTCCTAAAGGAAACTAACTGAACAGAAATACCTTTGAAGACTTCTTTTGGCCCCAGGCGCTTGTTTTAACTTTTTTTTTTTTTAACCTTTTAAGTTTCAGTAAGCACAGAAGGACCTTGGCCTGTGGAAGCTGCCTTCTTTTAAAGGGTAAAATATCTGTGGAAATTTAGAAAGCAAAGGTTTTTACTAAAGACTTTTCGTTTAGAACAGAGTTTTACATTTTGAAAACATGGATTTAAAGTAATCCAGCCTGGCAGCTGGCAAAATTTTTCAGAATCCATTTTTGGATTTTAATGTTCTACAAATCATCCTTGGGAATTAACACATAGTACAACACTTGAGCCTGTGGTAGTTGCTCTCTAAGTACTTACTGAGCTGATTTTGAAGCTTTCCACAGAAGTGCAAAAAATTTTTTAATGAAAACATCTGTTAAGATACTTCACCTTGAGTTAGCTTTCTTACTTTAAAAGGGCCCTCTCAGAATTAGAATGTCTGATTTTAAGTGATGGAAACAATAATCTCTAAGATATCAGTAACTTGTCTTTTAACTAATTACTACATTTTAAGAGGCACTTTGGACATTATTTTTAAATACAATGTAATCTTGATTTAGGAGAACAGAAAGGAGAAAGAAACCCTGGACACTCATAATACAATGACATAAATAATAATAATAGTTATTGAGTGCACCCTGCATGCTAGGCACTGTCCCAAGTGCCAGCAATGGATTACACCTTTAGCTAGTATCTGTGCTAAAATTAACAACCACCAACACTTTAACATCATCTAATGGCTAAAAAGACATGAAAATTCAAATAGCTCAAGACTGAGGAAAAAATCCATGTGACTTAAGACATTCTACCTGATAAGAGACAAAGGTCTCAGTATTCTGGGTCATCTAGAGAGTTCTGTAAATGTCTCCTCATTATTCTGAATGAACTGAGCACAAGGAAAGGCTTAGAAAATAGATATTTGATTTAGTATGATAATATTTATTAAAACTTTACCATGTGCCAGCCCTGTTCTAAATGCATGCTTTTTATGCACTATATTGTTTAATCAGGACTACAGATCCTCCAGGAAAGTAGCACTAGCGTTATTCGTAATATGGAAACAGAATGAATCTAAGTGGATTGGCCAAAGTCTTAAAGATAAAAATAGCAAAACAACTCACTACTCCTGCTTTCCCAGAAAGAGAAAGAGGTTTGAAGGGCCACATGGAATTAACTATCAAGGTTGGGGTTTTGTATTTATTAGAAATACACATATATGTCAAATTGTGAAAGGGAACATGAATCAGCACAAATAATGAAGCAAAAGGGATGGCATATTCCAAGATGTGGAGGCAGAGAAAGATTGGGTTCTGTGCAGGAAAAAGCTGCACGTGGATTTGACAGTTGTGAGAAGCCCAGGAAGGAGCACAGAGGAGAGGAATCCGACCAAGGAGGCAAATCGGTGGGGAGGCTTTGAAGGCCTGAATGAAGAGCATGCGGAGGCAATAATCTTGGAGTAAGACAGGGCATGAAGAAAACGACTGATGATCACGCACAAACAAAACATGTCGCTGGTGAAGCCTCCAGAGTGCTTATGTTATTATATTAGCTTTGAAATCCTCCTTCTTCATGACCTCATCCATTCTGAGAAACCATGAAGAATCTAGGGAAACTGCGTGTCTGTCTGTGTGTATGTGTGTGCGCGGGCATGTGTGGGCATGCTCAGTTGCTTAGTAGTGTCCAACTCTTTGCAACCCCATGGCCTGTAGCCCACCAGGCTCCTCTGTCCATGGGATTTTTCAGGCAAGAATACTGGAGAGGGTTGCCATTTCCTCCTAAAGGGGATTTTCCCAACCCAGGGATCTAACCCACATCTCTTGTGTCTCCTGCATTGCAGGTGGAATCTTTGGGTTCATTCAACCATAGCAATTTGATTATAAGGACCTATATGTTAGTAAAATCTGAGATTATTGTGTGCCTGTATATTCTTCTATTAGGATCCACTGTGACTATGCATTTTCAGTGGAAACCATTTGGCCATCAGCTCTTTGATGAAGGAATCCCTAAAACATCTAAATTTAAAAAATCATGAAAATGCTTCAAGTCAATGAATCTAGTAGTGTGTTCCAGCTAAGAACACTGAGGATGATTTTCAACAAATTAGTTTCTTTATGCATAGTGAAAGAAAAAAATATCAATTCAGCCTTAGTTCTCAAGAAAAGCTTGAATGATGGTAGGCCTAATTCAATTGTATTTTCCTTAACCTTCTATTTAAGTTTAAAAGCACTTTCAGGCCTGTGCCTGAGAAATTAATGAGCTTTGGCAGATCTCTATTTCCTATTGTAAAGTCTTTGTTATGATCAGTTATTTTGGGTAACATGCATTTCTCCTTATAGTCCAGGACTTTTAAAGGTGGAAACCTGAATTTAGCACCCAATCCCAGATATTTCATTCTTTGCAAGAGGACCAACAAGGATTATCTATATTCACAACAATACTCCAAAAGATGAAAGAAACATGTGCTATGTAAGAATAACAAAATATATACTATATTTAGCTTAGTTTTGTTGTTGTTTAGTCTCTAAGTCATGTCCAACTCTTTTACAACCACATGGACTGTAGCCCACCAGGCTCCTCTGTCCATAGGATTCTCAGGACATGAATGGATACGGGAGTGGTTTGCCATTTCCTCGACCAGGGATCGAACCCACGTCTCTTCCATTGGCAGATGAGTTCTTTACCAGTGAGCTACCAGGGAAGCCCTTATCTCAGTTTACTGAGTTTAAAAAATGACACAGTATAAAAATAAAAGTCATAGGAATGTAGGCAAAAATCTAAGCATCATTATCTCTTTGAAATAAAAAGACGTTGGTGTTATACTTACCAAAGTATAAGTAGAAGTGTATGAAAAAATTTCCAGTTAAGCTTTGTGCTTTTCTATTTCCAAATATTCAGCAATATACCATGGTATCTGGGGAAGTGACTAGAAAACATACTTTAGGTAAGTTGACATGAAAGAAACAAGATGCCTTGTTTATTATGCTAATAAGATGCTAAACACTCTGAGTAAAAACTTGAGGTTCTATTAAACTGGACTTAAAACATTACCATATTGTAAGAAAGAAAAACATAACGCTCACTCTAAAAGGATAAGAGACTTGTGTCTGATGTTGTCCTATTGCTTATGAAGTTCCTGTGGGTTGCAGATGAGTACTAGTGCTTAATCATCGGGCAAGGAAAGCTCTTTTGCACTTTGTAATAAAAATAACACTGAATTTATTTAAGTTATTTCTTGTGATGAGATCACTAGACTTCCACATTGTCTCAGTTATTCTAAAGTGCTGGAGTTCTGGTTCCACAGCTTCTAGCTCATGCAGACATGATGTGTCCATGTGTCATAATTCCAGTTTTCTCCTGGCCTCTGCCAATGTCAAGGGAAGGATCCAGAAGAAAGACCAGAGGTAACTGCTACCAGGAGTGGGGCTGACAGGTGTCAGAAGCTAAGAAAAGTTTGGAAGTTACTGTGCTATGGGATTTTTGTTGTTGTTGTTCAGCTGCTAAGTGATGTCCGACTCTTTGTGGCCCCATAGACTGAAGCGTTCCCGTCCTTCACCATCTCCCTTCTGGGATAGGTGGTGGGTATGGTAGCTGCACCATCTCCTTAGAACTGGGCTCTCAGCGACTCTAAGGTTTTCCTAACAATTTCGCTGACAGTTCTTTCAACCTCTTTGCCTCCGTGGATATCTGGCTGTCCCCTAATACACCACTCCCGCTGAGGGGCCAAACGCTCTCAGAAGGCATCGCAGGTGAACAGATGGCCACCACGACCCGGGCAGAGCTGCCAGTTTCAGATGGTTGCTCAGCACCACCCCCGATCTTACTATGTGTTTTTCCCTTCAAATCATTCATTTTCTTCAATGACTTTTCCTTCTTTCTCTTCTCTCTTTAACCCTATATCCTCCTGTCTCAAACCAGACCGTCTTAACTCCTACTTCACAACGGAAGTAAAGGCATCAGATTAGATATCATACAAATTAGATATCCTACAAGATTACTCACATATCAATTCTTCAATTTCTTCCCTTTGGTTTCAAAAGAAGAGATTCACCTCCCCTTAGACCTTCATTATATGCTGGCTCTCTCCTTCTGCCTTCTCAGGACTTTTTATTTTGACTATCCCTTCTCACTCCTATATCATTATCTCTCTTCCTCTCTCTCTTTTTTTTCCTCTCTCCCCCACTTCTTTCCCCATTTTTTAGAACAAGCAAATGAACTCTAAAACAAGCCTTCCACTCCACGGTCCACTTCTGCTATAAGCTCTCTCATCTCTGACAGCAAAGCTTCTTGAAACAGTTAGCAGCCATCCCTATTCCCATGTTCTAACCATACACTTTCTGCTCAGCCCTTTCCCATCTAGTGTTATGCACTGGTCCACTGAAACTATATCACAGGCAATGATATCCTAGGCAACTTTTTTTTTTGGCTGAGTGGCATGCGGGATCTTAGTTCCCCAACCAGGAATCAAACCCATGCCCCGTGCATCGGGAGCTCAAAGTATTAACCACTGAAACTTCAGGGAAGGCCTCCTAGGCAATTTTTTTTTTTTGACTGAGTGGCATGCAGGATCTTAGTTCCCCAACCAGGGATCAAACCCATGCCCCATGCATCAGGAGCTCAAAGTATTAACCACTGAAACGCCAGGGAAGGCCTCCT